GAACATCCTACAGTATTTTTAGTCTTAATTTTACTGTTAAAGTATATGTTTATTAAATAAAGTCTAATGTCACAACTAATCGTGGATCCCTTTAAAATGGACACTCTCGTCTTTCATACCTCTGCTACATCAGAGAAAGTAAAAGTAAGAAATTTGTGAAGCTCATTAGCTGTTTAAGGGCGAAAATGACTTCACATAATCTTGAGATCACATTAAATGTTTGACTCTCCATCTGCTCCATCTCCCTTGACTTCAACCAAAGCCTCTTTTCACACTTTCTTCCTGAAATCACTGATTTTAGTTGACTGCAAGCTGAAACGTAACAAGCAGTTTTTGGTGTGACTTCTGGCAATCGATACTCATTAAAGTTTGAATCTTCTGCAGAAAAGCTTTTGTATTTGTCCTTTCTTTGACAGTGTGATAATATTGACGAAAAACAAACAAAAAAAACACAATTTCAAGTTGTTTGAATTTGTTCTTTTCTGCACCAGGGAGCGCCGTGTATGGCTGGGCTTCAGTGATGTCAACTCTCCAGGTAAACTGCGGTGGGTAAACGGAGAGGACATACTGCGACCTCGCTCTGCGACCTCTCCTGGAAACCCGTGTCATCAAGATGGTCAGACCACTTCATTCCTGTGTGACGCTAAACGGGTCTACCTCTGCCAGTACATCTCTCAAGGTACCTTTACAGACCACCACTACACATATTATGTAAGATAAAGATTAAATGCAAAAGTCAAGTTCTATTTCTGCAGTAAATTAGGTTGTAGCTCCCAATATCAGGTTAAATCACAGAAAAATAGAAGATGAAACTGCACTGATCCTGATTGGTCATTATGAGAGGATTTTTCAGATGTTGTCCTGATGCATCTCAGTAATCCATGTAGAGAAAAAATTAATTATGTACCCTGGAGGAGTTCTTTAACGAAACGTTTCGTCTCTCCTCCAGCAGACCTTCAGTCTGAGGAGTTTCATGTGAACTCAGCTTTATAAGCACTGCCTCCACATGGTGGACAAAAAAGGTTTAATGATGACAATCAAATCAGTTGTCCTCGTGCAGAAGAGGACCCTCAGCCTAAAGAGGCCGCCCGGCAGCTAGCCTGTGCCGAGCTCCTGGGAAACCCCTCCCACTGCGGTATACATCACTGCATGGGTTTTCTTCCTGCTGGAGTCTACAATGTGGGGAAAAAAGTCAGAGACTCGTCACCCAAAGTTATTTATCCACAAATCTGTCACGGTTAAAGCTCCACAGATTTTATCAGTCAGATTTCTCAGTGTACAACATCTGTTTTATCTCCATTCATGAGTTTTTGACTGTTTGATTTTCTTTATAAATGTCTGCTTTTTAAGTGAACTGTTGAAGCAAAATGCAGTGTGCACATGCTTTCAGCATGAACAAACACTCCTACAAACTTCTGACCAATCACACAATAAGTTCTTACGTGGAGTGGGGGGTAAAAGGTTTGACTGGCGGGTTGCGACAAGTAGGTGCCGAAATGTCGACAATACGAACAGAATTACGCAATTTTTGTCATGAAACTGTGCCAGTTCAGCACAATTTCCACAGTTCGGCTGCAGCATACTGCACACTTAACAACAGATTGTGCTCTAATTATCTCTGTTGTTCATAGAGGATCTTGTGCACCATCACCTGACTATGGTTGGAGCCCCTGATTATCACCTATTGTTCACAGGGTGTTGAGTTATACTTGCAATAACAACATCGTAATTGAAGGTCAACTGGACACGAGACCTCCACCTCTATTTAATGATGGGGGCCTGTCAATAATATTGCAAGTATGACTCAGCACCTTGTGAGCAATAGGTAATAATCAGGGCCCAATGATGGTGATGACATGATCCTCTATGAACAATAGAAACAATTAGAGCACTAATGATCTATTGTTAGGCTGAGGGTCCTCTTTTGCATGTGAACAACTGATTTGGTTGCCATCTTTAAACTTGTTTTTCCACCATGTGGAGGCAGTGCTTATAGGCTGAGTTCACCTGAAACACCTCAGACTGAAGAAGTCTCTTAGAGGAGAGACGAAACGTTTCATTAAAGAAGAACCCGTCCAGAGGACCTACTTAACTTTTTTTTTCAGATGTTATTTATTGGTTTTCATCATTGTAAGTAGAAATGTATCTTTTATTTGTTTCCATTAAACTCCAATATAATGGAGTATTGTTTTCACATAAAATGATTTTGGGCAAAAAATAGTGAAAACAGTTTTACAAAATGTTGTATGTGTTGTTAAAACTTGTTATAATAAAGCTTTTAACAAATACGACTGTTTTATAATCCCGAGGCTGCAGGTTTGAGCCCAGGTTGGTTTCAGGGAGGGCATCCAGCATAAAACTATTTCCAAGTCCTTCATGTGAGTTTGCTCACTGGGACAACCCCTGCAGAGGGGAGCAGCCAAAGGAACCACATATTGATATTACATTTCAGTTCAGTTCAGTTTATTTATACATTCCCAATCCCAGCAAATGTCCTCTCAGGGCACTAAACACAAAAAAATAAATAAATAAAATTAAAATTAAAAATAAAAATAAAAGATCTTAAAAGTAGACAGAGTGTCAGCCTCACGGACAGAAACTGGAAGTTGGTTCTACAAGAGAGGAGCTTGATAACTGAAAGCTCTGCCTCCCATTCTACTTTTAGAAACTCCAGGAACCACAAGTAAACCTGCAGTCTGAGAGTGAAGTGCTCTGTTAGGAAAATATGAAACAATAATATTTTTCTTTTGGCTTTGATCCCCAGTTCGGACCTAGGGTCTTTCTGTGCGGAGTTTGCATGTTCTCCTTGTGCTTGTGTGGGTTTTCTCTGGGTGCTCTGGTTTCCCCCACCCCCCAAAAACATGTACAATAGGTTACCTCCAGGCCTCCCTCGAAAAAAAGATCTGAGAACTCAACGGGACTTGCCTGGTTAAATAACAGTAAATAAATTAATGAATTAATATCAGATGGAGATTGGTTGTTGAGAGCTTTGTATGTTAGGAGTAATATTTTAAATTCTATTCTGAATTTGACAGGGAGCCGGTGGAGAGAAGCTAAAACTGGAGAAATATGTTTTATTTCATTATTTAAATCAGTGATTTGGATAAACTAAAAACGTTTTAGCGTTTTTTGGTTACCTATTTATAAAGAATAACAATTGTTCCTCCTAGTAGTGCTAAATGCATATGACATGTTTTTTTTCATGAGTTTGGGACAAGAGTATCTTTTTTAGTAATATAACTCAGGTGGAAGAAAGAGTTCCCAGTAACATTATTACTGTGGGGTTAAAGGCACAGTGTGTAGGATTTGTTGTTTTCAGCGACATCTAATGGTTGAATCATCCTCCCTGGTCCTCCCCCCACCCCCACCCCCCGCTTCCAAACGCAAAGGTGTTGCTACGGTGTCTCTCAGGTGTCAAAAACCTTTGATAATTCCAACCRCGATGTCTACCAGCAGCTTCAGGGCTAGTGATGTTTCAAGTGGTAAGATTATGAGCTTCAATAAGTAAAATTATCCCCGCTACAACGACAGACAACAAATATTACATTTATAGTATTACAACTAAAACCGTTTTTGACGCCGCCACCGCAGTTTGTCCTTCATGAGCCTTCGTAGACAAGATGGCGACTGCCTGTAGTGGCGACCCGCGACCATGGAGATATAAACAGCTTTTTATAAGGTAAAAATAATAAAACAAGGTCTTTGTCTGCAATGATTAGACATGTTTTTTATTATTGTCATTAGTGATTATCTCAATTTCGGCTAAAAGAATTGACAAAATCCTACACACTGTGCCTTTAAAAGACATATCCTTATCAAAAGTAATAAAAAAAAAGAAATAAACTAAGAATAGAAAAAAGTTAATTTTAGGTTTTGTATTTATATATAGAAGATGGATGTTCAAATTATGTCAATCTCATTTATTTGTTTTAAATTTTGTTGTGTCTGCTTTGCGGTGTTGTGTGTGCATACAACTAGAAAAAAAAACCTTGCAAACACGACTTAATAGCTCTCTCCTTTTTAAATTGCTCTGTTTGCTCTTCTTTATTGCAACAACAACTCCTAATGAGTGCTAGACCAGAAATGCAGGATCTGAACTGATATGGTCCGGACTCATTAAAACCTGACTTGTTAGCCCGTGGGATTCGCTGATGAAAGCTGAAGACTGAAATACATTCATTTGTTTCTGTGTTATATCAAATTTATTATGACAGAGCGTCTTTTAGATTTTTATGTACTGTAACAATTTTTTGGTTCCTTCAGTGCGAGTTCCAGATGCAGGGGTCTACATGATCGGCGTTCCTGTGTTTCCATCCCATAATACTCTACATCAGGTTTTATCCACCTCACTCACTGCTCCACAGCCACCCAGCAGAGGCATCGAGGTAATGTGGATTTTCAGGGTTTATTCCCTCATCTGACAGTTTTCCATCCTTTTATAAAATGATTTACTTGTTTGTTTTCCTCACAGATGTTGATGTTTCCTGCAATGAGCTTTGTTCAGGAAGGTCGTCTGTCCTCCCTGGAGTTTATCACTCAAGATCTCAGCTCACAAGTCCACATCAGGTTCCAGACCTATAGACCCCGCTGCCGTTATCCAGGCCATCACCTCCTGTTGCCCAGTGAGTCACCTGCAAGAACACACTGATGTGCGGAAAAAGTAAAGATGTGCACAAATGTCTGGAGCGTTTACCAGCAGGTGTTAAAAACTTCCAAATAAGCCACCTGAGCCCACACCTTCAATTACACCCTCACCCTGAACACACCCCTCCCCCCTTGTCTGAAGAGGTTAGACAGGGGAACATGTCTCATATAGCTGCTTCCTCTCGTCATCCACAGTCAGCAGACTCAAAACAAATGTGTGCAGAGGTCTGTAGAGGTACAGGAGAATTGTATTTTCTGTGAAAATGCTGAGAATATTGAGTACTGAAAAGGACTAAAGAAGCTGTAGCTGAGTTGTAAAAGCTAATGGAACCAGAACACTAGTTTAAAGCTAAAAGAAGCAGTGTGAATGCTGCATCCACACTTTTAGAGAGCCAGAGATCTCAAGAGGTAATTTAAAAACACAGCAATATGCTTGAAGGGATGTTGCTTTATTGCCCTGATGCATCTCAGCAATTTAGGCAGAAAGGTCCTCTGGACAGGTTCTTCTTCATTAAAATATTTGGGCTCTTCCTCAAGAGCTCGCCTTATAAGCACAACCATCACATAATAAATCAACTAGTTTACCAATGAAACTGGTTGTTCACATGCAAAGAGCCCCATCAGCCTAACGGCTGATTGTTGCCCTGATGGCTGCTTATGGTTCACAGAAGGCTGAGTCATACTCGCAGTAACAGAATTGTAAGACGGGGATATGTGGACACGAAGGCCTCCACTCCTGTTTAACAACAGACGGTTTCTCTTCACTAAAATGGCTTCCTTTACTAAAGATGAGAACATCTTCATCCCTGAAAGGGTGACTTCTGGGCTGCAGATGAGTGTAAACTGCAGAGTCCTGGCCTGTAGATGAGTGTAAACTGCAGAGTCCTGGTCTGATGATGTAGCTCTTCTGTGTTGGGTCATCCTTTTGAACAGTGTTTGCTTTGTTTCCCTGATGTATAACTGGTCACAATCCTCCTGGCACTTAACAGCATACCAAACATTATTCTGTGCCTGGTGGACTGGATCTTTAGGGTGATCCAGTTTTTGCCGTTATGTGTTTTGGGGTTTAAAAGCTGAAAGCCACTGGGACGTCATGTTCAGCACAAGCTCCGATGGTTAAAGTGGACTCAAAGTTGCAAGAAAATATGCATATTTTCTGTTGCAGTCTCACTGAATCCAGAGTGTTTCAACCAAGTGAGCAGCAAGACATGCAACCACATTTAGAACGGTCAGTTAAAATAAAATAAAATGTATGGTTTATTTTTATGTGCATGGTTTTCCAAACTGTCTTGTTAGCCATGCACTTTATTTTGTCGTTTATCTCCACCCACGTCATACACACCTCAGCTCATTGCGTGTCCACATTGGCAGCTGTGTCCACATTTAGGGTTTAATCTGCTGAAGTACACTTTAGAAATGAAGACAGACATATTTAAACCATCCATCCATTTTCTGTACACGCTTCTTCAAACCAGTTTCTTGAACATTATTATTTATTGCCTGCATGGCCTTTAGACTTGGGCATGTTTTCTGATAAACGAGAGCTCGAGTCAGTTTGTAGTTTCCTTCATCGTCTGAGTTCAAAGTCGTTGCACAAATTTGAACATGTTCAAAACTCAAGCAGTTGGACTGCTTGTCTCAAGGAAACTGAGAACCCCCCACTAAAAGGTTGAGTCATTTTGGAGACTCCTTCATGCCTTTCACTAACAGCACAGAGATAAACCTTTGGGTTTGATGGATGTAGTAGCGGGTTTGGTGAGCTGGCAGGAAAAGCACAAAAAACATTTTTATTTTTAACTTGAGATCAGTGCAGCTCATTAAAAGGAGGTATTGTGTATTTTCCAGGCACACAGTTCAATTCTCTACCACAATAAATTAACTATGTTATATTAGTTGTTCTAAAAAGGCTGTATATATTTCAAAACTTAATTTGACTTTGCGTCATATCAAAACACACCTTGAATTTGGCCTTGGTCTCTTTAAGAACCTTCTACCATTTCAGACGCTCCCACTTAAACACATCTTCACAACAAAGCTTGGGGTAGGGGTGCTCTGTGGGGCGGAGCTCGGCTGTAGACTGAACTCTAGGGAGGAGCTTTGTACAAACAGGCGGTGCTTTGTACCAGCAAGTGTTTAGGCAGCTTCACATGGCTACCACTGGAGATTCAAGGATTTCTCAAACATGCTGAATGAATCAAAGCAACACTCTGGGTGTGTTTTTGATGAAAGAGCGATATTATAACATGATATGAAGCTCAAAAAAGTCACTTTTGCATAATACCCAGCCACCTCCTCTTAACTACAGTATATTACAAACATCACAAACTGCAGAAATACACACGTCAATCCTTTCAGGTGCACACACTTTGCCTTCAATTGGAGATTTTTTTAATCACTTTTAATAAGAAATTTGATAATTATACCAAAGTTCTTTTTCTTTTTTTTCTTTAAGTAAAAAAAATTAAAATTAAATCCTATGTCCAGTGGATGTGTTCGGTTTTCACAATCTTATTTTCCTTCACTATGATTTCTTTTATATTACAGTTAACAAAATGCATCTAATGTTTCAGGTTGTGGAGGTCCAGTGTGTTCTCCAGTTGCTCTTTGTGTCACTAATGACACAAAAAGCAGCAATCCTTCCTCCTGCCCTCCATTGGAGCAGTGGTGTCCTTTCCAGCGCCGGTGCCTGCCCCTGTCCGGTCCCTGTCAGCCGTCCTCCTGTCCTAACTGCACCCATGGCCACTACCTTCCACCTGGGACACGGAGGCCACAATACTTCCTGCAGAACGAGGTGGTCTTCACTCTCCCAGCAGGGCCAGCGGCACACATTCAGGTGAGATGGTTTACTTCTGTCTTTAGTGATTACCTGCTTTTTATCCGTCTACCTAATAATTGTCTGTAACTTCAACTGTTTGGACTTTTATTTTCTTCCAGATACAAGACCAGCTAGAGGACCTCCTGATTTCACGTGGAGATGTAATCGCCCTGCAGCATGATGCTGGCCCGTCCTCTCTACTTCAGTGTCGGTCTTCTCCTCAGTCTTTGTGGCGACAGCCTGTTTTAGCCCTGAACCTGTCTGAGTGGTTTTGGGTCAACAGCACCAGACAGTCTGCAGATTTTCCAGCCGACCTCATGCCCGAACCGGAGCTGGACACGGAGACTCGTGTGGAGAACAGGGAGGGAAACTGGCTGGAGGAGGAATTCTGCCCCATCAGAGTGCTTTATGTGGGTCACAATAAGACTCAGCTGCAGGGATCACATCTGTCAGCTGGTTTACCTCAGCCTGGACTCTACAGCCTGCTGGTAAGTCATCAGTTTTCATGTCATTTCCCAGCATGCATCTGGCAGCTCTTACATGCTGGAGCTGAGGAATGCAGAGCCCATAGTCCAGAGCAGTGGTTCCCAAACTTTTCAGCTTTTGACCCACAAAATACCAGCAGCAGACCTGTGTCCCCAGCTGTTGTTGGTTGATAAGCATTGTTTTCACGTCAAATAAACAAGAGCATAGTAACAATTATTATTACTCTCTTTTTGTCCATTTTAGTATTTTTTTGTAACAACAAAGGCAAAAAATTGTTGTTAGTTGTCATTTTTTAGTGTAATTAATCCAGAAAATCTTTTCAGGACCCCACCTTGATGTTTCGGGACCACACTGTGGGTCCCGACCCCAACTTTGGGAAACACTGGTCTAGAGCTTTTCTTCAAGGGACTAGTTTTACTTTATCAGATATAAAATAACATTTCAAATATTTCAGAATATTTATAATAATATGACTTTTTATTCATTATTGACTATTCTGTGATGGTGTCTGGCACCAACTCAGCAGACGTCAATTTTTCAGATTCTGTAAAATTGTGAGAAGTATCTGGTTGGTTTGTTTCTTCTTTTTGTTTGTTTTTATCTGTGTGAGAAAAGTTTGCTAATAAGGCAATTGTACAACGTATTTTGACAAATATATATTAGAATTTACATTTAGTCATTGGGCCTCATGCAAGAACATGTTTGTATTCTTATCCTACATTTCTCTTACTTTTGTTC